CTCTAGGGCACTAATGGTTTCAAAGGGTTGTGTAGGACACCTACTGTCCCATGTCCATCAGAACAAGCACTTCTATAGTCTAAAGGAGTAGTTCCCAACATTTGTCCTCTGGGTTGGCAAAGATGGGTGGAGGTTCTGGGAATTAAAGTCCCAAGAACCTGGAGGTCCAAAGGTTGGAAACTACTGATCTAGAGGTTATAAATACTGAAATGATATTTTTTGTTAGTTTGAACAATGTCGAACCTGATCTCTATGTTTTAAAGCATATGTATCAAATTCAAGGCCTGCGGTCTGAATCCAACCCACCATGTCATTTTATGTAGTGTTCCAGATGCTGGATTACAACTCCTATATTCTTCATCATTAGACATAATGATTAGAACTGATAGAAGCTGTGACACAATGACATCTGGAAGGCTGCAGTTTGTTCTGTTTAGTCGGGACATGTAATGGATATTGCCTCATAACTACAAATGTAACTAATTTGATCTGAATTGTGGGTACAAACAAAAAAATACACATCTCTAATAGATGGATAGATGGATGGATGGATGGATGGATGGATAGATGGATGATAGATAGATAGATAGATAGATAGATAGATAGATAGATAGATAGATAGATAGATAGATAGATAGATAGATAGAGGCAATTTATATACTAAGCATAAACAGTTCAGTTTGTGTTGCCCTTCTCAGGTGAGTTTCAGCATTGAGGCCAAGGTGCGAGGATGTCCTCAGGAGCAGCAGAAGTCTTTCACCATCAAGCCAGTGGGCTTTCAGGACAGCCTGACAGTTCAGGTGAACTTTGACTGCGACTGCCAATGCCAGCAACATGCTGAGCTTGATAGTGACACCTGTACACATGGTAATGGGACCTTTGAATGTGGCATGTGCCGCTGCCACCCAGGGCGACTGGGCTCCCACTGTGAATGTTCAGAGGAAGAGTACAGCCCATCTCAGCAGGACAACTGCAGCCCCCGTCAAGGAGAGCCTCTCTGCAGCCAGAGGGGTGAATGTATCTGCGGCCAATGTGTTTGCTACGGCAGTGACTTTGGCAAAATCTCTGGAAAATACTGCGAATGCGATGACTTCTCCTGTGTCCGCTTCAAGGGGGAGTTGTGTTCTGGTAAGTGGGATATAGCAAGATAAATGGGGTTTTAGTGGTATGCATGTCTTTAATAGTTTTTGAATTTTTTTAAAAAAAATACCTGAAAGTAATCACATTACTGCTCTCTTGCTCTTCCCCCTTTCAGAGCTCTTTCCCACATTCTCCCTCTTGTTCCTCCCACTGGGGTATAAAAGGAAGGTGTGAAAGCAGCTGTGGGTCATTCCGAATGCAGCTGTCTTACTGTGCAATTGTCTTGAGTTGCTGTTCTGTGACTTAAACTTTGCACAATTAAGACTCGTGCGCCAACTGCGACCGTACCTCGTGAAGGCGGATCTGGCCAGGGTGGTCCATGCCTTAGTCACCTCCAGATTGGACTACTGTAATGTACTCTACGTGGGGCTGCCCTTGAAAACGGCTTGGAAATTTCAGTTGGTCCAACGGGTGGCGGCCAGGTTGTTAACTGGTGCTCCTTGCAGGGAGCGGTCAACCCTCCTGTTTAAGGAGCTCCATTGGCTGCCGTTCATTTTCCGGTCCCAATTCAAGGTGCAGGTTCTTACCTACAAAGCCCTAAACGGTTTGGGACCTGCCTATCTGCGTGACCGCATTTCTGTGTACAAACCCACATGATCTCTTCAATCATCTGGAGAGGCCCTGCTTGCGCTCCCACCTCCATCGCAGGCGCGATTGGTGGGGATGAGGGAGAGGGCCTTCTCGGTGGTGGCCCCCTGACTCTGGAACTCACTCCCCAAGGACATCAGTCATGCCCCAACTCTGGCAGTCTTTAGGAGGAGCCTGAAAACGTGGTTGTTCCAGTGTGCCTTCCCAGAATAAGGAAATTCCCAGCAATATGTCCCTCAATGCACTTTATTAGTGATCTAGGAATGTCTGCTTGCCCTTTCCTCTCTGCAAATTCTATCTTAGTTATATTTCACCTTGTCATGCTCAGCATATTTTATAATTTTAATTACTACATTTGGCCCAGCCATAGGTTTTTAAATGTTGTTGTGTTACTGTTAATGTTTACTGCTATTTTCTGTTTATGAGTTTTATTATATTGTTATGTATTATTGTTGTTACTGTTTTTACTGATGTGCTGTGGGCTTGGCCTCATGTAAGCCGCACCAAGTCCCTTGGGGAGATGGTAGCGGGGTACAAATAAAGTATTATTATTATTATTATCAAAGCCCTCTTAGTTGCTGTTAGTGTTTTCTTTCAGCCACCTGACTCCAAAAAAACTCCTAAATGTTTTTCAAAGCAACTGAATGTTTTTGAGTTCATGGCAAAAAAGAAAAGGCCAAATATTGAAGACCAAGAAGGCAGCAGGTTGAGAATCATTGCAGTGTCTGATACTGATGAAGAACATGCACGCCTGGATTGCAGATCAAAATTGAGGAAACTGTGGAAACGGAGGTGTCTACCACTGGTTCATCTAATCCAAGCTCTGCCAAAGAAACCATGGACAAGAGCAAAGAAAAGTACTGTGTCATTGTTAAACCCTGGACTTTATATGAACAAGTCTGTTTCTGATGACCAAGTGAAAGTTTAATTAGTGCAAAATCCACAGACTCCATTGCCAGGATATGTATTTCCTGTGGATAAGAAGAGGCATTTAAGTTTTCAACCCAAATGGATCAACAGATTTCCCAAATGTCTTGATGTAGCCCATCATCATAATAAAGACAATAAGAAGAAAAAAGAAAGAAATTCCTGCCAATTGTGAAAATTATTGTCCTATGTGATAGATAAGAACTGACTTTAATAGGGAGCAATGACTTGTGAAGAACCTCTTCACAATGATGGTAATTTTACCAGCTTGAGATCTTGCGCCAGATCAGGAGACAATGCTCTGAAATGTCATCTCAAAACTGCAGCTATAAGTGTTCAGTATAGTAGTTCTCGAATACAGAATAAACTAATAGACATTTGTGATGACACGGTAGTAAAAAATGTTGAATGATGCAATGCATCACGGTGCTTCTCTATTTTGGCAGGTTAAACTTTGAATGTGAGTACCTTAGAACAGTTAACGCTCTTAGTAAGTTACTTTGATGTTGAAATTGCAGGAATATATAGCCTTTGTGAAGATAAATGATATGACAAGTGGAAAACAGGCATAATTTTGAATTTGAAAACACTGGAGAATTGGGCTGAATTTGCAGTACTTATAAGAACAGGGTTATGATGGATCTGCTAATATGAGTGGTCATATTAGTGCACAAGCAGTTATATCACAGAAGTATCCAATGGGTGTGTACATCCACTGCAGTACTCACTAAATCTAGCCTTAGTAAAGACTTGTAGCATTCCACCTGTCAGAAACTTCCAAGGAACAATACCATCTGTGTGCAGTTTCTTCAGAGCACCATCCATCAGAATGCAACTGTTGAAGAAAAATATCAGAAACTGTTTCCCTGAATCAAGAGCAAACAGCCTGTTGCTGCTTTGTGAAACCCACTGGGTTGAGCGACATTATGCAGTTTTACGTTTTGTTGAACTGTCCAGGGTTGTAGTGAGAACACTTGAAGAACTAAAAGAGAGTCCTCTATACAACAGTGAGACTTCTTACCAAGCTGGACACCTTATTTTAGCTGTTCTAAATGCTGAATATGTAGTAACTATACACATCCTAAAAAAAGCTTCTGTCATCATCCCTTCAGCTTAGCAAAAATTACAAAGAGTCGAAATAGACATTTTCTGTAGTATGCAACATGTCGACACTCTATTAAAAACAGGCAAGGAGATGTGCACAGAATCTGTAAAAGAATTTCAGGAGATATTTATTGACACAGCAAGATCAGTGGTGGAATCTAGGGCGGAGAAGTTTGGATTCCTCACATCTATTCAAGACAGACTTGTAAAAGCAACATCTTGGCAACTTCACCAATGGAATATTATAGGCTAAATGTGTACATCCCATTTCTGGCATTTTTGTTTTTTTACATCCAGCTTCAAGAAAGGTTTACAAGTACAAGGCACAGAGAAGTAGTTCAGGAACTGCAAGTGTTCCTCTTTATTAATTGTGGCTATTTAAAATAAACTTGAACAAGTGCACATAACTGTACAATGAATGCCTTCAAAATACTAACATACTGATGGAAGAGTTTTACCTGTTGTGTAGAAAATGGAAAAAGAATACATTTGCAGAAAAACCATCAAATGCCCCGAAAACATACCTTGTCTTTTTCCGAATGTGAAGAAACTTATTCCGATTTCTGCAACATCGCCAGTGTGAATAGATGCAATGAAAAGTCATTTTCAACTCTTTAGCTTTCTCTGCCAAACAGTTCTGATGAGGATCAAACTACAATTTATTTATTTATTTATTTATTTACAGTATTTATATTCTGCCCTTCTCACCCCATAGGGGACTCAGGGCGGATTACAGTGTACACATATATGGCAAACATTCAATGCCCATTTGACATACAACGTATACAGACATACACAGAGGCTATTTAACTTTTTCTGGCCGCCAGGGGAGCTGTCGCTTTCATCGTCCATCTGCGACACTGATGAAGTACTTCCGCATTCCCCGCATGCTTTGCTGGAGTGCTTTGCTGGAGTCTTTTTTATGGCCTCATAAATTAGTTAATTTAGCCTCCCCACACAAGGTGGTACCTAATTTTTCTACTTGACAGATGCAACTGTCTTTCGGGTTGCAAAGGTCGACAACAGGCTACACAATTGGTAGGAAACCCACTCCAACCCGGGCTGGCTTCGAACTCATGACCTTTTGGTCAGAGTGATCTTAATGCAGCTGACACTCAGCCAGCTGCGCCACAATCCCAGTGCTTTTACAGGATTTCAAAGCATTAATTCAACTGTGTAGATGAATCCTAAGAGTAAATCTGTGAATCGTAATCATTTACACAGCAGCTCATATAACATTATTTAAAGAATAATTCATTGTAGAATAAAAGCTTCTGTTATTCATGCAAAGGTGAGGATACTAACTCAAGTATAAAAAAAATTACTTTTGGGTCCAGGTTCATATTATGTTTCCTGTTATGAAAGCAGAAATAACTGTTTGAGGGCCCTTCCACGCAGCCATATAACCCAGAATATCAAGGCAGAAAATCCCACAATATGTGCTTTGAACTGAGTTTTCTTAGTCCACATTGCTGTATATTCCAGCTCAAAACAAAAAATGTGGGATTTTATTCAGCTGTGTTGAAGGGGTCTGAGATTGGCTGTCTGTGCTGCTGTACAAGATCAGATGCCTGTGTAAATTATCCAGGATGATAACAGAAAAGGAAACAATTTGTTGTGACTCACTGAGTTGCAGGACTAATTCCGCCTTGCCCTTCATAGAGAACCACAGCACATTCCATTCCATGCAAGTTTCTGTGTAAGCTGTAAAATACAACAAGTATTGTGCAACATGGCAGTTTGTGGCACATGTCAAACACTGATAAAACAACCAGGCTATTCATTGCACAATTCAACCATTGTGATTCTTTAGAGAGGAAAAACAACAACACTGAGCTTTTATTATTCTGCTAATCTCATTCAGCAGATATCAGAGCAGATACAAGATGTAGGATTTTTGCTGAAACGACTCACTGGAACCAAAATCTCCTTGATTTAGAAAATGATGCTACTGTGGTTTGGGTTAAACAATAACTGTGTACTACACTAAATGCCACTGACATGAGGCAGAGGTTGTTGTTGCATTGTCTCTGAGAATTGAGAACAAGAAAGGAACCCATAACTATCCCCAGAGATAGCTGCTTGTTCTTGAATGTGTGCAGTCCATTACAACAGGCAATCTGGTTGACCTCTTCCAAATCTGGTGGGATCAGATCACGAATTTCAAAGTCCAGAAGGAGCTTTCATAAGGGTTGGAGAACATGGGCTGCGAGGTGTCCTTATATATTTTTGTTGTATTGTTGCACATCATTTCCAACATATACATTTTAAAATGTGAATTCTGAGCAGGGTTGCTTTCAGGTTTTTTTTATGCTCCTCCTGTAACCACCAGGCTAAGATTTTTCTGATTTTGGGGAGAGGGGAGATTCTGTTTACTATCTTACATTTTGGGAATATACGACCATGGTTAAGATATGAGAGCAAAGCTAGCTACAATGTATAAATTCGATTCTTTAGTGGGGGTTGCTGAATACAAATATAAAATACTAGCTTGGGTACCCAGCATTGCCTGGGTTATTTGAAAAGGTACAAAATGCATAAGGTTGTGGATTAAGTACAGCTGTCATCATGCCAGGTTAACCCCAAAAATCTCCATCAGTTAACGTTTGTTATGTTGGGCAAGTTTGCTCAAGATGCATCCTTGGTGGGATTCAGTGTGCTGTCTGACTGTAGGGTAAACTACAACTCCCACCATGGTGAATCAGTCCCCTCAAACCCCTCCAGTAGGTTGAGTTAATCATGAGGGTTCTGTGTGCCAAGTTTGGTCCAGGTCCATAATTGGTGGAGGTCACAGTTTCTCTGGTTGTGGGTGTCAGTTCCCCCCAAACTCCTCTAGTAATAAAATTTTGGCATATCAGGTATGTGTGCCAAGTTTTGTCCAGTTCCATTGGTGTTTGGGTTCACAGTGCTCTCTGGATGTGAATTGCAATTTTCCCAAATCAAAGTGAATTTTCCCCAAAGACCTCCAGTATTTTTTGTTGGTCATGGGGGCTCTGTGTGCCATGCTAGTTCCAGGTCCATCATTGGTGGAGTTCAGAGTGCCCTTTAGATTGCAGGTGAACCATACATCCCAGTACCTACACGTCCTATATATCATGGTGAATTCTCCCCAAACCTCTCTAGTACAGTGGTTCTCAACCTGTGGGTCCCCAAACGTTTTGGCCTTCAACTCCCAGAAATCCTAACAGCTGGCAAACTAGGTGGGATTTCTCGGAGTTGTAGGCCCAAACACCTGGGGACCCACAGGTTGAAAACCACTGCTCTAGCATGTTCAGTTGCTGATCAATTCCTCTGTTAGTTATGTGCCATAGAAAAGAGTAGAAAATTGTTAAGTGGGCGGGATCATGCAAATTACACACCAATGGAGAGAGTAAGAAACACTGGGATGTCTGTGGTGGAGGAAAAATAGAAAAATTAGGATAAATTTGTCCCTGTATGAAAGCCTTCACTTGGGTAGGGGGCAGTATGGTGTTAGTGGAGGACATTGGAGGGCTTTTGTACATTGTTCATGATGCTCACTATAACTTGCAATGTCAGTGGAGGGAGGGCCATTGGTGTCTCTTGAGTGGTGGAAGTTATACCTGTTTCTGGAGGCAGGAGCTTGTCTGTGTAAGAGGGCACTGCAGCCACATACACACATACATATTTTCATTTTTATTATGTGTATTGATAGATAATTATGTTGTTGTTGTTGTTGTTCATTCTTACCACTCCTTTTCAGTAACATTTGACTAAGCCAAATTATCTCTGTTCATTCCACCCGAGTAATTATTTCTCATGCATGTGACCAACCCATGACCTGTTTTTAAGTGTGTATTTGTGTATGTATGTATATTTTCCCCCAACACCACTAGAGATATATTCCAACCAGCTGCCATTTAGTCTCCCCTCTACCCATGATTCACTTGAGTTTTTCATTAACCAGTCTTTCATTATTATTCCACTGCAGAGGAGGCTGCTGCCCTTTGGACAGGATTATGTGGATAGAAATACAGTAGAGCTAAAATACCTCAGGGAAAACACCGTTTCCCAGATAGTTTCATGGGAGTCTTTGGTGGGAAGCCTTTGACCATTTTCCTGATTGTGGCACGCATGTCTCAATACTAATGGCTTTACTGCATCAGTAGCTTTGAAAGATCAGTGTCCAGCCAAACAGGATTTATATTAATTGCAGAGACAGAGGTCTTACTATTTGGCTCCAAGAGCTGTAAAATATTAAGTGTATGCCTGTTGTTGCTTTTGGCAGCCTCAAAACTAAATAGATTTTTTTTTCCATCTAGCTAAAAATGTTATTTAATTACCTCATTTATATTTTGACCCTTTTCTGGAAACTCAAAGCAGCAGATGCAAAAGTTAACCAGTTGTCATCAGTTAAAACTTAACCAATTACAATTATGAAAAACATAGAGGTGTCAGGATATGATTCAAAGTTGACAATAGTTGTGAAACTTTCTCCCATTCAGTTTACCTGTCTTTTGTTCTAGTTTCTGTCATTTCTAGGCCGGTGTAGTACTAGCCACTGCCAGAGCTGCTTGGAGAAAATACTTTTTTTGGATAATTCCTCAAAATTAACCAAATTATCCAAAATTGTCCAGAAGAGGGCAACTAAAATGATCAAGGGTCTGGAGAACAAGCCCTATGAGGAGCAGCTTAAAGAGCTGGGCATCTTTAGCCTGAAAAAGAGAAGTCTGAGAGGAGACATGATAGCTATGTATAAATATGTGAGAGGAAGTCATAGGGAGGAGGGAGTGAACTTGTTTTCTGCTGCCCTGGAGGCTAGGATACAGAGCAATGGCTTCAAACTACAAGAAAGGAGATTCCACCTGAACATTAGGAAGAACTTCCTGACTGTGAGAGCTGTTCAGCAGTGGAACTCTCTGCCCCGGAGTGTGGTGGAGGCTCCTTCTTTGGAAGCTTTTAAACAGAAGCTGGATGGCCATCTGTCAGGGATGATTTGAATGCAATTTTCCTGCTTCTTGGCAGGGGGTTGGACTGGATGGCCCATGAGGTCTCTTCCAACTCTATGATTCTATGAGTCTATGATTCTAAATTGTAAATCCAAAGTAGTAAATTTCCAAGCCCTGTTTGCACGTGAAATAAGAGGAAAGAATACATACAGGGGCGGCTCAACCCATTACGCAAAGTAAGCATTTGCAGTATATTTGATTTTGCCCAGGGGTGCTCTTGAGGCGCTCTTGGGGGAAAATAGACCTTGACATATGTGAGTTGTAGTTACTGGGATGTATAGTTCACCTACAATCAAAGAGCATTCTGAACCCCACCAATGATGGAATTGAACCAAATATGGCGCACAGAACTCCCACGATGAATAGAAAATATATATCAGTGATTGGGGGGGGGGGGGGCAAAATACTGTTTGCTTACCGTTGAAAATTACCTAGGGCTGCCTCTGAATACATAGGTTTGTTGTGGAGTGGTTTGGAAGCAATTTATTACAAGTTACAATGTTACCAGCAGCAGATATCGCAGGATCTTAAACTTTTTCATCACAATCTCTTTTGTTTTGTACTTGAAAAATCCCAGTCACTTTACTAGCTGTTAGGAATTGTGGAAACTGAAGTCAAAAACATCTAGAGGAGGACAATTCCATTAGGTTTTTTAAAAACGTATAAGTCTCTACATTGGTGTTTTGTTCCTAACCTCTGGAAATCTTATTCAGCTCTGGTGTTGATGTCAGAAAGCATTTCTTATGTACTCCAGACATATTTTTTTAGCCGTTAGGATTGAAAACCTTGAGCCCTCCACGGGAAAGTCATTAAAATGCAATAATAAATACATTTTTAAAAAACAGCAATAAACTACATTTGAAATCCATGACCTGTTCCTGCACTTTTTACATGCTCCAGCAGAATAATGGCATATATATTCACATCTCAGATTACTAGCCATATGTCACTAAAGAGGATCTAAAAGTTTAGAGAACCAGTGGCTTCCTTGAACCTTAAAACAGATCCCTTGCTGCAAGAAATTGTTGAGGTTTTCAAAGAAGTCCCAGCACCCAATTAAATTAGGGCTCCAATCCAGCCTTTTAGTCACACAGTGGCTTGTCTACACACCAATTTGATTGCATGATCCTGTCTAATTTCCGATGCTAAACATATCCAAGTCAGGCTGTAAGAATCTCCAGATAGGGCTTTGGGAAACTGCTACCTAAAATCCTGGATAATTGTTCTTGCACTGGTCTAGATGTATTATTATTAATTATTAATTATTAATTAATTGTATCAGTGGTTTGACTCAGACTAAGCTAGTTTCCTGTCTTCCTACAGGCCATGGAAAATGTGACTGTGGTGACTGCAACTGTGATCCTGACTGGACAGGGGCCTATTGCAATTGCACCACACGGACTGACACCTGCATGTCTACCAATGGCCTGGTGTGCAGTGGACAAGGGCGTGGATACTGTGCCTGTGGGAAATGTGTCTGTACCCAGCCTGGCTCTTATGGAGACACCTGTGAGAAATGCCCCACGTGTCCTGATGCCTGCACCATCAAGAAGTAAGTAGTCAAGGAGTGGGCTGGTTTCAAAACTATGACTTGGTTATATGGGAAGGGTCTCTGGTCCGAATAGTTTGATTGAAAATATCGGGGCTGGACTTGTTTTTCAAGGTCTCCATGGGGGGTCAGAAGATCTGAGGTTGAATGGCCAGAAGCAAGAGAGCAAGCCATTCCTTCATTTAGCTCTTGCTATTAATAATCTGCCACTGAGCCACAGGGATAGTCATGCTCTCCTGCTGACCCAATAAGTCACACCTGAGCTTCCAGGCTCTGTCTCCAGAAGTCTCGGTGTCTGAATCTCAGCATGTCGGAGAGACTTAGCCATCCATGACTGCTTCCACAATATTTATGCTATCAGCATGTTTTGTTTATTCCTGTCCTGACAAGGTGCTATGAGTTCAGGGGTGGAAACCTTGGACTCTCAGCTTAATTTCAAATGTCAGCTGCTAATATTTAGTTCAAGTCATGTTTTGCCAACTATATTTTAAACTATAGCTCCCAGAATCTTCGAGCCCTTGTGAACATTGGCCCAATTCCATTGCATCTACCTGTCAGGCTCTTATGTATATTATAATGAGATGTTCTTGTTACATTTGTCCTTGTGAGTCATGATTTTGCTTATGTGGTCTTGGGAGCTCAGCAGGAACAATGAGTTAAGAATTATGGATTTATTTAATGAAGCAGAACTGCCAGTTTTCCTAAAACTCTGAAATCTTGCAATTCGGGTGATGGAGCCAGAGGAATGTTTGATAGGTCATAGAGCTGTCAGGTGTGAGCAGAACTTTATGACACCTGGCAGTTTTATAGCAGCAGAAGAATGTGACCTTGTGGCTCATAGGAAGAACCTGGCTGTTTCTGATGTTTTATAGGTTTGGCAAAAGCTTTAATTAATTAATCTAAGCAAGAATTAGCCTGTACTAGGTCTTCTGGCCATTCACCCTGGAATTTCAAGGGGACCCTGAACCTACAAATCCTCTTCCAATTGTCTTCTTGTTTATAATTTTTAGGCACTGTGCAATATAAATAAATAAATATGGCTTTTGCCCTCTTGTAGGCATTATATATGATGATACAAAAGGAAAAAGAACAAAGAATGAATACAGAAATAAGTTATTATAGGCAAGAATATTGAGTAATGGTTATTAGAATGGCCATTTGGTACTGAAAGGGTTTGAGAGTAAGATGAGCCAAGTGGCAGATACTGTAGTTTCTTAGATTGATTGAGCTAGTCTAGCCATGTGGAATATAGTCGCAGACATAGAATCGTGGTATTGGAAGAGATGCCAGGGGCCATCCAGTCCAACCTCTTGCCATGCAGGAAAATGCAATTGAAGCACTTCCAACAGATGGCCATCCAGCCACTGTTTAAAAACCTCGAGAACAGAAGACTCCACCATGCTCCGAGGCAGCATATTCCACTGCCAAACAGTTCTTACCATCAGGAAGCTATTCCTAATGTTTAGGTGAATTTTTCTCATACAATTTGCATCCATTGCTCTGTGTTCTAATCTCCAAAACAGCAGAAAACAAGTTCACCTTCTCCTCAATGTGACATTCTCAAAAATTTTGAAACATGATGATCATGATCCCCCTCAGCCTTCTTTTCTCCAACCTAAATGTACCCAGCTCCCTGAGCCATGCCTCAAAGGGCATCCAAAGCTTGGATCATTTTGGCCACCTTTCCTTGGATATGTCTTTGCTTGTCAATATCCTTCTTGAATTGTGGTACCCAGAACTGGACCCAGTATTCTAGGTGAGATCTGACCAAAGCAAAATAGAGTAGGACCATGACTTCCCTCAATTTATACTTTTATTGATGCAGAATCAATAGAATGACTAAAATCATTAAGTGCACCAATGGGAGGGATCATGCTGTCTCACTCCATTCTTAGTAGCTGCTTAGGACAAATCCTGAGACCTGGGAACCTTAAGTGTGTGGTATTCTATTGGAGGGATACATCCCTTGGCTGAATGGAGGTGGGCTCTTGATGTGCTATTACAGTCACTCTTCCTCACCACATTTTGTGGGAGACAGATTTGAAGTGAATGCCTCCCTTACTATTGTTTTTATATTCTCACTGCACCTGCCTTTTCTTCTTCTTATACAGAGAATGTGTTGAATGTAAAAAGTTTGAACGGGGTGTCTTAATGGAGCAAGATGCCTGCAGTCGCAACTGCCGGGATGTGATTGAGTTGGTTCAGGAACTCGGTGCGTAAAAAATATGAGTCATTTTTCATTTCTGAAAATTTTCTGATAGGCTCTGTCAAACCCATGTCAGCTTGAAATAGCAACAGCAAATAGGATGCCACTTCCTTCAGTTGGGATAAGGAGGCAATGAGATGGCTGATTACTTTGATTAAATCTATGTTCTGTATCTAAAGCTCAACACCAGGCTCACAGATCATAAAACCCATTAGTCAAGAATCCAAGAGAGAGAGAGAGGACAGAGGACAGAGAAAGAGAGAGATAAAGAATTGTTGTAGACTACACAGAGGGAGAAAAAGTGGAGGCAGTGACAGACTTTGCATTTCTAGGTGCAAAGATTACTGCAGACGCAGACTGCAGCCAGGCAATCAGAAGATGTTTACTTCTTGGGAGGAGAGCAATGTCCAATCTTGATAAAATAGTGAAGAGTGGCAACAAAGATCCACATAGTTAAACCAATGGTATTTTCCATAGTCACCTACGGATGTGGGAGCTGGACCATAGGGAAGGCTCAGCGAAGGAAGATAGATGCTTTTGAACTGTGGTGTTGGAGGAATGTTCTGAGAGTGCCTTGGACCGCCAGAAGATACAACCAGTCCATATTTCAGGAAATAAAGCCTGACAGCTCATTGGAGGGAAGGATAGTAAAGGCCAAGATGAAGTACTTTGGCCACATCATGAGAAGAAAGGAAAGCTTAGAGAAGACAATGATGCTGGGGAAAATGGAAGGAAAAAGGAAGGGGGGCTGACCAAGGGCAAGATGGATGGATGGCTTCCTTGAAGTGATTTGCTTGACCTTGAACAAGCTGGGGTGGTGACGGCCAACAGGGAGCTCTGGCGTGGGCTGGTCCATGAGGTCACGAAGAGTCGGAAGCAACTGAATGAATGAACAACAAACACAGTCCCACTCTCCAGACTTTGTGTTTGATTATTTCTGAACTGAGAATCCAAACTTGCACATTGAAAGCAAACAAAACCCTGCTTACCTCAAATCTAATTGCAAGTAGACTTGTGCGTTCGGGTAACCTTGCCCCATTTTGTGTTTCTTGGCCTGCCTGCCACACATGCACTCTCTCTTTCCAAGGCAAAGAGGCAAGTTCTGACTTTCTTACTCTAGAGGAGGCACTTGGCTGCAGACAGGCATGCATGCCACATGCACACTCTCTCTTTCCAAGGCAAGGAAGTATGGAGCACCACATGCTCACAAAAGCAGAGGGGGGGCTGATGATTCGCTCCCACCTGCTTTCATGTCGAGCTGATTTTCATTCTGGGAGGGGGGTTCCCCTTACGTGCTCCCGAAGGTAACGAAAGTAACGAAAGAACAAATGTAATGAAGGGAAATGGATCCACACACGACTCTAATAGTAAGCTCTTGATTTTGTGTGCTTGTGACATTTCAAGTCCCACTTGCAAATTTCTCAACAGCATCTGGATTGTCCATTACGAAGACATAGAATGGACTAACTGCTCTTTCATCTGCCTTCTATTGTAGGAGACAAGGGGGAAAATGCTGTGAATTGTACTTACAAGGATGAGGATGACTGTGTGGTACGTTTCCAGTATTTTGAAGACTCCAGTGGGAAATCTATCCTCTATGTCATTGAGGAACCAGGTGAGGGCTAAAAACCATTGATTCAGAGCTTGATCTTCGGCGATTGTGTATATGATGATTGCAAATGATTTCTCAGTAATGCGTGAAAAAGACTGTTGTAGTTCAGAAAAATTACTTTAGAGCTGTAGTTCAAAAAAGTAGCATTTCTCAGTTCTGCTTAGTTCATTCTCGGGGACTGCTTTATTTTCCAGCCAACTGTGTATATTTTGCACCTAAGACACGTTGTTGAAGGCATGGATTCCAGAAGACCTTCTAAAATCTGAATATCTAGGGTGAAGGGAAAAAGAAAGCCGGTGTCATGTAGTGGTTTGAGTGCCGGACAAGAACTTTGAGAAATGGGAGTTCAAAACTTTGGGGAAGCTACTCAGCCTCAGGAAAAGAGAATGGCAAACCCCTATGAACATATCCTGCTGAGAAAACCCAGCAATAGAGTTGCCATAAGTCAGAAGTACATTTATGCAAACAACAGCAGGGTGTGGAAAGGCAACAGACAGAGGGCGGATTAAGGGACACATGAAGATAAAAATGGGCAATATACGCAAAAATAACGGCACGCATTCAAGCTTTGTTTCTGTTGAGTGAGAATGGAGGAACATTGGCTCTTCATATGCACTGTTACAATACCTTGCTGTTTGTCAAAATGCCATGGGGCTTTTGAGGCCAGAGTTTCCTTATCCTTGCTGTAGGAGAGGGGAATTGTGGGTAGGTCAAAGTTTTCTGTGAAAAATGGGTATATCAAAGAGAAAAAAAATGTCCCAGCATCCATATTCAGCAAGGGAATTGCTGTCCCAAGAGCCAGTAAGATAAGATAATCAGAGTAAGCTAAGGACAGTAAAACTGAAGGGTGCACTTACAAGGTAGGAATATTTTGAGCCAAGATGACTTTAAGCTACTCAAATACTTGGATATTAATTATAAATGTTAGCTCCCAAATTGTTAGTAAATTTATTTTATCACTAATTAATTACTGTTGTTTGTTGTTAAATAGAAATTGCTTTCTTTTATCAAGAAAAATTCTATAATGTATTCAGTCATTTATTTTATTAAAATGTTTATAAATAAGAACAGAAAATGCCATACAAATTGATTTTTCTTTCAAAATATCTAGGATTGAGTTGTTACCATCTGCAGAAATGGGCATGTTTGATTTGCATAATTCTATATTTCTTGGAGCAAAAGCCTCTTTTTGGTATATAGAGTGGACAGAAATTTTACGTAGGCTGGGGTCAAGGCCTTTGTGCTCATTTTTGAACTTTGCCATCTCTTAGTTCAAAATTAAATGCTGTCTGTCATCTTTTGCTACAAAGGGTTGGAGTCACGTAATTCTTTGTCAGACTTCTGAAGAAATCTGTTAGGCTCTCAGATGTTGGTCCTGTAAAAATAATAATAATAATAATTTATTATTATTATTATTATTATTATTATTATTATTATTATTATTTGAAACACAACAAGATGAGTCCACAGCAGACACTCTGCTGGCTGTTGTATTGGATCACATGTCGGACACTTCCCGAGTGTCTAGGACTGTGTGATGTATCGGCGAATAATGCATGCAGATCCCAGTAAGGTGGCCTTCTACAGCTGGCAGATGGTAATTTTGTCAGCACCGATTGTGTTTAAGTGCAGGCCAAGGTCTTTAGGCACTGCACCCAGTGTGCCGATCACCATTGGGACCACCTTGACTGGCTTGTGCCAGAGTCTTTGCAGTTCGATCTTTAAATCCTCATACAGCTTTTCCAGTTGTTTCTCTTCTATCTTACATTATTATTATTATTATTAATAATAATAATAATAATAACCTGCCCCACCCCCTTCCCAAAGGGACTCAGGGCAATCTTCTTCTTAATCGCAGCACAAAGGGGAATAAACTCTACAGTAGCCTCTAGCAACATAAAACCCACTTCCTCCTTCTTGAAAGCATGATGGAACCTGTGAGAAAAAGTCATAGAGGTCATTCTGACCTCCATAGAGGATGCTAAAACCACTAGTTGGTTGCACAATGCATTCACAAAGACACACACCCTTAGCCACAGGGAATATACATTTGGCTGGTGACTCAGGATGCATGTAAGAGATTGACACCCAGTTAACACTTGCATAGATTTAACCAGACCTCAGCAGGGAATACTTTGAGACCAGCTAATGTTTGGTGGGAAACCACAAAAGCTGTCACTCTTTCCATAATACCTTAGGATTGTTAAAGTGATATACACAATAGTGTGGTTAGGGAGCAATAGATGTTTGGTTAATCCATAAACCTTCTGGGAAAAATTGTTTTGGGAAGTAACTGATTCACCAAATGATCAACATGAAGCTGTAGAAACCTGTACTACTACTCATTGGACAGGATCCTTCCCCACTGCTTGCATCATTGCCAACAACCCATTGCCCAGTCATTTCGGGCAGTCTGCATAGTTTCTGTGGTGTTCTGGTTTTTAGGAGAAAAAGTTGATATCTAATTTGAATCCAGTCTGAATCTAATTCTGTCACTTAAATGCTTGTACTGGACTGCTTCAGGACTATTGCACTTAATCTGAATCAGAGAGAATATCGACGTAAGATAAGAACTAGGGCAGTGTTTCTCAACTTGGGGGTCGGGACCCCTGGAGGGGTCGCGAGGGGGTGTCAGAGGGGTCACCAAAGACCACAAGAAAACACAAGTATTTTCTGTTGGTTATGGAGGTTCTGTGTGGGAAGTTTGGCCCAATTCAATCGCTGGCAGGGTTCAGAATGCTCTTTGATTGTAGGTGAACTATAAATCCCAGCAACTACAACTCCCAAATGTCAAGGTTTATTTTCCCCAAACCCCACTAGTGTTTACATTTGGGCATATTGAGAATTCCTGCGAAGTTTGGTCCAAATCCATCATTGTTTGAGTCCGCAGTGCTCTCTGGATGTAGTGAACTACAATTCCCAAAACTCAAGGTCAATGCCCACCAAACCCTTCCAGTATTTTCTCTTGGTCATGGGAGTTCTGTGTGCCAAGTTTGATTAGATTCCATCATTGGTGGAATTCAGAAACCTCTTTGATTGTAGGTTAACCATAAATCCCAGCAAATACAACTCCCACATGACAAAATCAATACCCTCCCCCAATCCCACCAGTATAAATTTGGGTGGATTGGGTCTTTGTGCCAAATTTGGTTCAGTGTATGAAAATACATCCTGCATATCAGATATTTACATTACTATTCATAACAGCAACAAAATGACTGTTATGAAGTAGCAATGAAACTAATTTATTGGTTGGGGGTCACCATAACATGAGGAAGTGTATTAAGGGGTTGTGGCATTAGGAAGGTTGAGAACCACTGAACTAGGGTGAATGTGAAAGAGGGATGTATCAGGAAAATCTTCATGGGATTCACTGATATGACCTTAGACTCCCACATGGGAATGACCAGGCAGTAGTTGCAACTATATTAAGTCTATATAAATAAAAATGTAATGTTTGTTTGTGGGATTAACATAACAAAACCACTGGACGAATTGACACCAAATTCCAAAAGTAGATTTTCCTTAACATAGCAGAATTTTACCAACATGTTTTTCTTAGCCTGGTTTGACCTGGGCAAATGGATGTGAGAGAGGTTTTTCTGGAAAACTGGGTAACTCAAACATGTGCATCTTTTGATGACTCGCAACTGTGAATATCTCGACAATTTCTGATGAAAAAGTGTGTCAAACTTGGAATTCACATATGCAGTCATCAAGTTGTGATTATGAAATAATATCTAGTAATGCGTGCATCTGCCAGACACAAAAGGCAATATATTTCTACCTACTGTTGCACCATAGGCTCTCCAAATAAACTTGCATCATGGAGTCATCTCTGAGCCAAAAGCTGACACACAGTCCCAGTATGGCAGAAGCAAACTTCATTAATTCTTTGTTGTCCCTCTTTTCCAACAGTTTCTCCAGCCTTTTCACATTTTCTCCATTTGCCCTTTGCAGACTGAGTTCAAAGTGCAATAGTAGTTTCCATTTAATTCAGCAGCAGAGAAAGCATATTCTGTCTTTCCCAGTTGGCTTAAACAAAGGCAGATTGCTGCAACCTCTCCTAACACATGTTTCCGTCTTAATTATTATTTTTTTAATCATCTTGTCCACACTCAGATGTTACTTGGCCATATAAGTTCTGGATTTTGTATGTGAAATATTGAATTGTATTTTTATTTATTTATTTGTCATGTCAGGACAACCAGTCAAATTATATTACATTTCTAACAGAACAAAGCAAGCAAACAGACAAAATACAAAACTTGTGAGTTTGGTAATTGATCAAATGTCCCTTGACCAGTATTTGGCCACTTGGAGTGCTTCTGGTGTTGCTGCAAGAAGGTCCTCCATTGTGCATGTGGCAGGGCTCAGGTTGCATTGCAGCAGGTGGTCAGTGGTTTGCTCTTCTCCACACTCGCATGTCGTGGATTCCACTTTGTAGCCCCATTTCTTGAGGTTGGCTCTGCATCTCCTGGTGCCAGAGCGCAGTCTGTTCAGCGCCTTCCAAGTCTCCCAGTCCTCTGTGTGCCCAGGGGGGAGTCTCTCATTTGGTATCAGCCATTGGTTGAGGTTCAGGGTTTGAGCCTGCCACTTTTGGACTCTTGCTTGCTGAGTTGTTCCAGCGAGTGCCTCTGTAGATCTTATAAAACTATTTCTAGATTTAAGTCGTTGACGTGCTGGCTGATACCCAAAAGGGGATGAGCCGGAGATGTCTCTGCCTTGGTCCTTTCACTATTGGCTGCTACTTCCCGGCGGATGTCAGGTGGTGCAATACCAGCTAAGCAGTGTAATTTCTCCAGTGGTGTAGGGCGCAGACGCCCCGTGATAATGCGGCATGTCTCATTAAGAGCCACATCCACTGTTTTAGTGTGGTGAGATGTGTTCCATATTGAATGGTGTAAGTTGAGCATCAATTTCCCAAAAGAAGGCTTGCAAAACAACTTTCTATAATAATAACAATAACTTTATTCTTATACCACGCCACCATCTCACTGAAGGGTCTCAGGGCGGCTTACATATGAGACAAAATGCCCCAAAAATACAAATACAAAACAATCCATTAAAACAAAGACACAATTCAAATAAAAACATAGTAAAATATAACGATCCAGATAAAAGCACAATTTATTTTTATTTCGTATCAAAAGCATTGCATAAATTAGTATAAAACCGATAAAAATAGAAGGAGCACAAGTGGCTAAATATCTTTTGACCAAAAACAGGCAACAGCAATGGCATTGTCTGTAGGCTCCAACAATTCTTCCTCTGTACATGAGGCAGGGCATAGTGGACAAGCATACAGATGCAGAATTGTCTGTTCTGCTCCACAGTCACACAAGATGTGGGCTTCTTTTAGGTAGTGCCATTTTGCCAGGTTGTCTTATTATATTAAATTTTGTACTTACTTATTAGCTTTTTAAAAGTATGATTATATAAGGTAAATAAAAAATAAAAAGGGTGGCACAATTAAATATCTATATAAATAAAAATGTAATGTTTGTTTGTGGGATTAACAGAACTCAAAAACCACTAGACAAACTGACACCAAACTTGGACACAAGACACCTAAACAACCCAATGTATGTCCTTCACTCAAAAAAATTGATTTTGTCATTTGGGAGTTGTAGTTGTTGGGATTTATAGTTCACCTACAATCAAAGAACCCCACCAACGATGGAATTGAACCAAACTTGGCACACAGTTCTCCCATGACAAACAGAAAATACTTGAAGGGTTTGGTGGGCAGTGTCCTTTGGTTTTGGAGTTGTAGTTTACCTACATCCAGAGATCACTGTGGACTAAAACAATGATGGATCTGGCCCAAACTCTACATGAATACTCAATATGCCCAAATGTGAACATTGGTGGAGTTTGGGGAGAATGGAATCTTGACATTTGGGAGTTGTAGTTGTTGGGATTTATAGTTCACCTATAATCACAGAGCATTCTGAACCCCACCAATGATAGAATTGGGCCAAACCTCCCACACAAAACCCCCATGTAGGCCACAGCAACATGTGGCAGGGGTTGGCTAGTAAAATATAAAACAGCAGTATTGAAACTCAGAACATTCCTGTTTCAGACTGTGATTTGCTCATCTCCATTATTTGCAATGACCTTTGACATAGGTCCTGGATTGAGTATATGTGTGATTACTAAAGCAGGAAATATAAGGGGCCAAAAGTGAAGAAAATGCTTCATAACTCTATATGATATATTTTCTTGTAGATTGCCCGAAGGGACCCGATGTTCTGGTAGTTCTGCTTTCGGTGACTGGAGCCATCTTGCTTATAGGCTTGGTTGCGCTTCTTATCTGGAAACTTCTTATCACCATCCATGACCGGCGGGAGTTTGCCAAGTTTGAAGAAGAGCGAGCCAGAGCTAAATGGGACACGGTGAGAAGCATTGGAATGGTGTGATGGGACCAAGAGCAGGCCTATTTCAGTTTCTATGCCTTTGTGCCCTTAATAAATACTGTGATTATTCCACATTACATATTCATAACAACTTTATAACAGACTTCACCTGAAACTAGCTATAGAAACATGTGGATATCACCAACATCTGTACTTGTGGTTTTTCTTCATAACATACTGAAAAACTCAGTATTGGGCATCATGTTTTCCTCCTTTGTTGGCTTCACTGCTTAAAGTTTTAGGGGAATTGAGAGACAAAATAATGTAGCATACCACGGCGAAGCTGAATTATATAATGTGTGCCCCTCCATAAGGGATAAAGATGTGCCATAGTCTCAATTTAATTGTATTTCTTCACATCCCACATATTTTATTCCAGCCTTGTTTTCTATGTTGTAGCAATATTTTGTGTCATTGAACTGTTTGTTGTTGTGTACTTTTCTTCATATAACTTGTATTAGCTGCTTGGTTAGGATTTTAAATGAATACATAGCAATTATGAATACAAAACATTTACCTAGATGTACTCATCTGTAACAGTTTCATATTAACAATTACTCTAGTCACTGTTTTGACATTATAGCCACACTGTTATCATTGGAAGGGAGAGACAAAAGAGGATAGCTTACTAAGGCCCCTTCTACCCTGCCATATAAAATCCAGATTATCTGATTTCAGATGGATTACATCGCAGTGTAGATTCATATAATCCAGTTCAAAGCAGATAATCTGCATTATCTGCTTTGATGATCTGGATTATGTGGCAGTATAGATGGGGCCTTAGTTAAGTATCACAAATATACTAGGTAGTTGATACAGGATATCCATCATATGTATTTTAATGCATACTTCTTAATGTACTAATTATTCCATTATCTAAATTGCCTGTGTAGCATCATCAGGTAACCATATTTTATGGTGCGTATTTGCATAATATTTAAAAAGGAAAAGAGGGAAAGTTCTCCCACTTGCAGTTCCATCTCAATAAGGAGATTTGAAACATAATGTTAATAGTCTCACAAGCCAAACATTTATACACAAGTAACACCTGCGCACCTATTAAAGGAATAATAATAATAATAATAATAATAATAATAATAATAATAGTACATCACACAGTCCTAGAAGCTTGGGAAGTGTTCAACTTGTGATTTTGTGATACAAAATCCAGCATATATATATCATTTGCTGTGACATACTGTGTTTTTGTATCATTAAAATAATAATAATAATAATAATAATAATAATAATACATATATTTTAACCCTCTCTCTCCCCCCAAGGGGACTCAGGGTGGCTTCCAAAAAACAAAGTGGCAAACATTCAATGCCGTATACAATAATAAAAAATTAAACATTACACATTCTATTAACAGGAACAGGAGCTCTGTCTCTTCTTTCACCTGAAAGCACTAGCTATTAAACCAGTTTGAGTCTATATTATGGACCCAGATTTGGGGAAAGGGTAGTCTATATGCAGTATTTAAGACTAATTTGTGAACCCCAGGACCACAAAACACTCTCCAAGTGTTACTTTTCCTTAAAAAATCTTATCTCCCCAATTGGCCCCCACTGCCTTCAAGGTCACTGCTTCTTAAACAGTGGATCCTGAGCCCAAATGGCTGAATGTTGGTGTCATAAAAAAATTAGCAGCAGTAAAAGGTTTCTAAATGCCGCCCATTTACATACATTTATTTATTTATTTAAAACATTTGTACCACACCCTTGTCAACCCCCCCCCCCCCGGGGGGGGGGACTCAGGGTGGCTTACATCCGGCACAATTCGATGCCGTTACATATAAATAATACATAAAGTAATACATATAAAAACACAGTAAAATAATTTTAAAATTAGTTTTAAAATAAGAAGTACATTAATGAAAAGTGCAATAATACTAGCTGTCTAGCCTTATGTAGAAACAAATTCAGCGAGCACAACACAATTGGAAGCCTGTCCATAGTCCATTTTCCATGACATTATCATTATTGCCATTGTCAATTATCTGCCAGTTACCCAAAGGCCTGGTCCTATAACAATCTATTGGCAACCATGTGCGATATTTACATTCGACTCTGCAAAAAAAATGCTTCAGCTGTACTTTATGAAACGGAAAATCAGGTTGTTTAGCAAGCCTTGAAAATTCTGATCTATTGGCAACCATGTGCAATATTTACATTCGACTCTGCAAAAAAAATGCTTCAGCTGTACTTTATTAAAAGGAAAATCAGCTTTTTTAGCAAGCCTTGAAAATCCTGCTCTATTTTCAGAAAATGCTTGTTTTTTATACCTATTTTATATAGCTGTGTATTTGGGGCCCTGGGTTTCAAAATGCAGATTCGTGGAAATGCATATATGGCTCTAAAGGGTCTCCTGGGGATCCAAGTGATAGTTGCCAAGTCTGGAAAATGCACGCATTGATGCATCTATTTCTTAGCAGATATATATATATATATATATATATATATATATATATATATACATACAGTATTTATATTCCGCGGATTACAATGTACATATATATGGCAAACATATATATATGGCAAACAAGGGCAGATTACAATGTACATATATATGGCAAACATTCAATGCCATAGACACACAACATATATAGACAAACACTCAGAGGCTATTTAACATTCCAGCTTCTGGCCACCAGGGGAGCTGTCGCTTCACCGTCCATTTGTGACACTGGTGAAGTACTTCCTCATTCTTTGCATTCATCCTGGAGATTTTTATGGCATCGTAAATTAGTCAAATTAGCCTCCCTGAGTGGGTAGTACCTAAATTTCCTACTTGATAGATGCAGAATATCATTTGTTCTCACTTCTTTCTCTACCTTCTCTTTCAGGCCAACAACCCGTTGTACAAGGGAGCTACCTCCACATTCACCAACATCACATACCGTGGAAATTCATGAGGGGAGAGAGTTCTGGGGCTTCCCTATTCATGTTTACAGAACAGTTTGTGTTGTTTTGGCAAGTGTTTTGTGTGTGATATTTGAATAGCTTTTGCTCAGGTTGTTCAAAAGCCTTTGCTCTTCATTGTTCTGCTGTCACGTGAGGATGTTTGCACTGTGATTCTTCCAATTACTCTTTTTACCTCAGAACTTCGGAACGAACCCATACACTGAAAGAGAAAGCAGGACTTGATCTTCAGTAGGACCAGCACTGTATAAATCCTAAGGTGGGGTTATAGGACACTTTGACTGAATAAAAGTAGAGGGCAAAAGTACTGAAGTATGTGATGTAACTGATTTTGTATAATGAAATTGGGAATGAAGGGTTTGGGAGCAAAGTCACCTGATTTGGAATTAGTGGAGCACATTAAGGAGCTGAAATGTCCACTGTCAAGATCGACTTGGTGTAGCTGAGCCAGAGATGCTTGCTTTCTTCTGCTGTCATCCAGGTCTGCAAGTCTATGTGTAAGGTAGATATAGGAAAGCTTTAATTACAGCTTGACCACTGTTTGGCAGCATTTCCGACGCAAGGAACGATGGGAGATTTGTAATTTATTGCAGATAAAAGTTTTGTGGAAGGGGAAACAGGGACATGTTTAGGACTGGCAAGCACTACTGTCATATATGTTGATAATATAATTGTAACCACAAAAGAATTGAATGGGCTTAGAATTATTATTATTTTTAAAAAAACTGCTTTAAAAATATGTATTGCCGGAATCTATTCAAAACTGATCTCATTTTCCTTGAGAAGGTCAAAATATCCTGTTTTGAAAATATTCCTCTTATTGTCCTTATTTCCGCAGCAGGAGATCATAGGTGTTTGATATTTAATTTCTAGAAAGAAAGAAAGAAAGCATTGTGGGGGTGTGCAGAAGCACAAGCTTTTCTGAACATCCTGTGATGCTAATCATTTGTGGCTTTGTCATGGCAAAGTTTAGTGAAAGGAAAAGAAAAAAAATATTCTGCATATTTGTACAGGTACTTCTCTTTTCCGTTGTGACTGAACAATGCTTGAGCCTGAGTCTATGACCATTGGCTTGAAAACATAGCTATATATCCACTCAATCACTGTAGGGAATTGAATAAGTAATAGTTAATGATCCAATACTTCGAATTTTAAAAATATCTAGGCTGGAAGGGGCCTCTCCTCTCTTTCAGTTTTTCTCTTTCTCAGAACTGTTAGAATATTGGTTGAGTTAGTCTGAAAGCCATGATTCAGTACATGTAAAGCAGGGATTTGAAGAAGGAGCAACAGTCAATGATAGATGGTTACTATACAAAGAGTTTCAAATATGCTCCTCAGCACTTTGGGTTAAGACAACATCAAGGCTGGAAAGGTCTTCCCTCTTTCTCAATCTTTCTCTTGCTCTAAGATAGTGGTTCTTGTTGCACTAAGCGTATTTCAGTCAAGTCCAATGCAGAAGACACAATAACATTGCACCCAAGCAAGAGGAAAAATAACAGAAAAATTTTACTCTTATCAGCAGAGTTAAAACATAAACTTGCAATGTTAAAAAGAGTGCAACAAACTTACAAAGTCTTTGTAAGTAATGCAGAATAAGGCTTCTTCATCTTCATCCAAATGAGAAAGCAATAGAAATGGTTGAGCAAAGGCTCCTCAGAGCAAAAGCTGAACTGTATTCTAAAAACCATACAGTTACACCCCACCAGGTGTGGTCAAACTTACTAGTTGACCTACATTAGCAGCTACACATAATTAACAGCATAAGGTTTTCTTTAACACACACATATACTTGATCCTGTTACGACTTATTGTAACAGTTCTCAACCTGTGGGTTCCCAGGTGTTTTGGCTTTCAACTCCCAGAAAGCCTAACAGTTGGAAAACTGGCTGGGATTTCTGGGAGTTGAAGGCCAAAATGCCTGGTGACCCATAGATTGAGAACCACTACTGTAAGAGTACTCAGAATGAACAGTATTGGTTGAGTTGATCTGAAAGCATTGACTCAGTACCAGTAAAGCAAAAAAAAATCTCTTTGCCAAAATATTATGTGTCCTTCTGAATTGTTAGTGTCCTCTTGTCCCCTTGTTTCTTCTCAGGTTTGACTCAGGGAATCAAAGATTCAGCATTAGATGAAACACTTCAGTGTCCTGGATGGTGTAAACATTGCTTCCAAAATTGCCCTCAGGTGCCTTAAAGGAGGTGGGGACATGTTGAAACAACATGGCTAAGGAACCTCTTCTTTATGGAGCTTTTTTTAGTAACCCAAGATGTATATAAATACGGGTAGAAATACTGCCTCATTCTGCTTGGGTTGTAAGCTGGTCTGGCAGAATTAGACCTTTTCACAGTTGGACGTTGTGAAAAGGCTTCAGGAAGGCTTCTGAAAAGTCTCTTGTGGGTGCTTGACTTGTAGAAACCCATAGTCATGTCTTAATATGGAAAAAGGAACAACTTTAACACCACCCTACCATCTAATTTCCAGCCTGTCACTCACACCACTGCTTCCATTTTGTGTCCTTCAGTACGTACGCAGAATCCACTCACCACATCCAGCCAGCTAACTACATATTCAAGTCCTTCTCTGATATTGTGAGAAGAACCAGTGTTACAGTTAAAACTATATGTTTGGTACATAGGAACACTGTTATTGTCACAACATAACAGCTCACATGGAACCAGTTTGGATGTTTTTCTTTTTTTTATTAATATATATTCCCCACTTTCATTTCCCCAAGGATTTCTCAGCCTTTCTCACATCGGCAATTCTCTTCGCCCTCTTTGCCAGCAGACATGGATTTGGATTTGGATTAGGAGAGGTGGCGGGAAGTAAGGCTGCTTAACCCTGGAGCTACAAGAATATTTAGAAAGGGCAGGACAGGATTGTCATGTAGATCTGGTAAATCATCATTCTGTTGTGGCAATGTTGTGGTGAAGACATACCTGTGGCACATCCAAATAAAATAAAATAAAAATCCCACTAATTATCTTGGTTTCTCTTCTTTGTTTGTTCATCATTGTTTTGGTTTTAACACATACCACTTTGAATATCAACACTAATCGGTTATGAAAGAAGATAATATCAGTGGCAGCCATAATCCACTGATATTATCTTTTTTCATAACCGATTAGTGTAGTTGTGCTAGATGCCTCAACATTAGGTTGGCTTTGGTTGTTGTCCAAATCCCAGGAGCCAGTTTCAAGTTAAAATTCCATAGAGGACAGGATTCCTAGAAGCAAAAAAGGAAGTGAGAAGTGTCTACTATATTTGATTGGGAAATAATTTTATGAGCGCTAGGAAAGAGGGACCACTGTAATACTACTATAAAAATAATATTATAATATACTTTATAATCTGTGCTATTTCCCCTAGGGGACTCAGAGAATACATTTATGGCAAACATTTAATGTTATTATACAAAGACAGACGGTACATTGACAGAGGCAAGGCTTCCCTCCGTTACATTTCCGGCATCTGGAGGCTGTGCTCGACTCAGCCATAGAGAGGAGCTGTTGTTCCATTTTTCCATGCTGAGGAGCCTGTTATCCATGGATGCCTTTTCCTGATTAAATTGCCAGCATGTCTTTAGTGCAGCGTTTCTCAACCTTCCTAATGCTGTGACTCCGTAATACAGTTCCTCATGTTGTGGTGACCCCCAACCATAAAATTATTTTTGTTGCTACTTCATAACTGTAATTTTGCTACTCTTATGAATCATAATGTAAATATCTGATATGCAGGATGTATTTGCATTCACTGGACCAAATTTGGCACAAATACCAGATACACCCAAATTTGAGTACTGGTGTGGTTTTGGAGGGTTGATTTTGTCATTTGGGAGTTGTAGTTGCTAGAATTTATAGCGAAGAGTATTCTGAGCTCCACCAATGATGGAACTGAGCCAGACTCGGCACACAGAACTCCCACGATCAACAGAAAATGCTGGAAGGGTTTGGTGGGCATTGACCTTGAGTTTTGGGGTTGTAATTCACCTGCATCCAGATAGCACTGTGGACTCAATGATAGATCTGGATCAAACATACTCAATATGTTCAAATACTCAATACTCAAAATGTTCAAATATGAGCACTGGTGGCAGGCCCGTAGCCAGGATTTTGTTTCGGGGGGGGGGGGCTAAATTTTTTTTCAGGTGGGGGTTCAGGGGGGCTGAGTTTTGGGGGGGGGCTGAGTCTGAGTGAAAGAGGGTCTAGCCTAGCAAACCTTTTGTATCATTACCCCAATACCCCCATGCATATGGGATATATTGAGTATGGTGATCAGATCATGATATGAATAAACATAACAGTTTAAATAATGCACCAGTAAGGCCTTTTCGCGAATCACCATGAGAATTTCGGGGGGGGGGCTGAAGCCCCTCAAACCCCCCCCCCCCCCCCCCCCCCCCCCGGCTACATGCCTGACTGGTGGAGTTTGTGGAAGATAGACCTTGATCTTTGGGAGTTGTAGTTGCTGTGATATATAGTTCACCTACAATAAAAGAGCACTCTGAACCCCCATCAACGATAGAATTGGGCCAAACTTCCCACACAGAAACTCCATTGCTATCATAAAATTCTGTGTTTTCTGTTGGTCTTTGGCAACACCTCTGACATTCCCTCATGACCCCCCCCCCAAGGGGTCCCAACCCCCAGGTTGAGAAACACCACTTCAGGGGCACCTTTTGCCTCCCCAGCAAATTGGTACCTATTTATTTACTCACATTGCTGATTTTGAACTGCTAGGTAAGCAGAAGCTAGGACTGATGGTGGGAGCTCACCCCACCCGCAGCTTGAACTGACAGCCTTCCAGTTGGCAAGAGTTTCTATAGCTGGCGGTTTAACTCGCTTTGCTTATGGTGGCCCCATTATGATTTCCAATGGGTAATTTTTTTTTGAAGTGGGGAAAGGAGTGAGAGCTCTTCTGAGGTATTATTGTTATCATTCCTAAAGTTTAAAAACAGATGGCAGGGTTAGGAAAACAGAAGGCACCAAAGACACTTTTGGGGTAATAAGTATAACCGTACACTTCATCTAATAAATCACAATAGTGTGTTTGTTAGTTTGATTATGAAACCTGGACATCTCAACCTTGCCAAAGATGATTAAAGGTGATGCAAATAAAGCTATATCGTGGTCTCCATATAAGAAAGACATCTAAGCCAAAGACAGTGACCCAAATATTCACTGTTAAAGAACAGATTACTTCATTACTATGATTACTTGGTGCTTTATATAAACGTAAGAAGATATCAATATTAAAAGAGAATATGTGTATTTGTCATTACTCCAAGAATGAATCTCACTCAAAAGAATCTGCCCTGCCTCAAGTCGTAAGGAGAAGCAGGTAATAAATAAAAATTACTATTGTTGTCGTCGTTGTAAAGCAGGGGTCCTCAAACTAAGGCCCAGGGGCCGGATACGGCCCTCCAAGGTCATTTACCTGGCCCTCGCTCAGGGTCAACCTAAGTCTGAAACAACTTGAAAGCATACAACAACAACATTCCTATCTCATCAGCCAAAAGCAGGCCTTTTTTTTTGTCGTGTCAGGAGTGACCTGAGAAACTAGAAGTTGCTTCTGGTGTGAGAGAATTGGCCGTCTGCAAGTACGTTGCCCAGGGAACGCCCGGATGATGTGATGTTCTCCAGCACAGTTCTGAACTCTTTAAACAGTTTTTAAAAAGGAGAACGGGTCCAGCTGCCTAATAAGTAAAGGAAGAAGAAGGAAGTGATGGAAATATTGAATGAGCAATGATTGGGAGGAAAGACTAGTGAAAGAGGAGGGAGAATGGTAGGAACATGAGAAAATAAAGAGTAGAAGAACTAAGCATAGATTGAGAGAGGAACTATTAAGCTTTTAATTGTTTTTATTGAGTCCTAGGATTTAATGGATATCCGGAAATTTTAGAGGTATTTTAGTTTAATTTAATTTTAATTATTTATTATTGATAATATGGAGCACCCTTGTAAGTTTTTGATCTTATAGTCTGTTTTAATGGATGGCTTATTTTACATTGTCTATTTTAATTATTGTCTATTTTAATGATGATGTGAGCAGCCTTGAGTCCGTCAGGATTTATTTGTTGTGTCAGAGCAACCAGTTCATTATATTACATTTCTAGTCCGTCAGGAGAAAGGCAGCATAAAAATTCCTGAAATTAAACAAACAAACAAACAATGCTTCTTAGACTTAAACAACTATGTATCAAATAAGTGAACAAAACTATGAAACATATTTATATATTCTGGACCTTTGAAAAGCCTCTAAAAGGACAATGACTGCAATCCAAATTCACCCATAACTCACAAATGGCATAACTATGGCAAAGAGTGGTGAGAGTTGCAGTCCCAACAAATTCTTAAAGGACACAGGATTTCCATCTCTGCTTCTGATTAAATATATATGCCTAATCAAACATAAATCCTATTGAACTCAATGCAACTTATTCTCAAGTAGATTTTTATAAGCCTTCAGTCTTTATAAGGAAAAGACTACAACAACAAAAAAAGAGTTGGATGATACAACAGTGGTTTATAAAACAATTAGTTGGACAAAACTGATAAACAAGTTATGCAGGTTGAGCATTCCTTATCCAGAAATCTGAAATACTCCAAAATCAGAAACTGTCCAAATGGATGGCTGAGATAGTGACATCTTGGATTTCCAATAGTTCAGTATAGACAAACAATGTTTCATACAAAGGAATGTTAAAATATTATGTATAAAATCACTTTTTGACTGTGTTTGAGGTCTATATAAAACAGAAATGAATTACATTTTCCACAGATATATAAACCCATTTTCCTACTTCCAACTGTCCTCGCTACCTCTGAGGATGCTTGCCATAGATGCGGGTGAAACGTCAGGAGAAAATGCCTCTAGAACATGGCTATATAGCCCAGAAAACCTACAACAACCCAGAATTACATTTTGGGCCCATCTCCAAGATATCTCACTAGATACGTAGGTGCAAATACAGGTATTCCAAAATCTGCAATCCAGAACACTTCTGGTAGCAAACACCTTGGATAAGATACTCAATACAGAGCTACGCAATAAAATTGCACAGTGGCAAGTTAAAAACAAAACCCCCCCCCCCCCCCCCACACACACACAAGGAGACATCATTTCATTTAGTTATAGACATTATATTGCTGCACATCAGCTACTAGTGATTTGTTAGATTTGGGTGTTTTTTGTCTGTTATTTCCAGTATTGGAGAAGTGTGTTCCATTAGAGTACTAGCTGTCTAGAACAGGGGTCCTCAAACTAAGGCCCAGGCGACGGATACGGCCCTCGCTCAGGGTCAACCTAAGTCTGAAATGACTTGAAAGCACACACACAACAACAACAACAACAACAACAACAACAACAACAACAACAACAACAACTCATCAGCCAAAACCAGGCCCACATTTCCCACTGAAATACTAAAAAGTTTATATTTGTTAAAATTGTTCTTCATTTTAATTATTGTATATTTTAAGAGTTTTTTGTACTACAAATAAGATATGTGCAGTTTGCATAGGAATTCAATCATGATTTTTTTAAAAATTATAATCCGGCCCTCCAACAATTTGTTTAAAAAGTTTGAGGACCCCTGGTCTTGAAGGACGAATTTCATCTCCTGTGACTCTCTTCCTCAACCCGCTCCCACTGATTGAGAAGTTGTACCAACCCAGAATGCACTGCTATTAATGGCTACAAGATCCTTGTTTTCCATGTGTGATAGTTTCCACACTCATGTGTTCTGAACTGACCAAGTGGTACCTCTAAACCCTTCCCTCTGGGAGTATCTGCAATTTGTCACTGGATTCCTTCACCATGGGAAAGCAGATCTGAATCTAGAGTTAGAGAAACAGTGACATCTAAGGGTATTTTGTGGGATTTCATCAAAATTAATACAGCATTTTGCTATACAAACAATGCGTAAGTATTCATAATGCTTAGCAAAATCAAGAGCATGCCACATCCTTAATAGAATGT